CGGGGCCCTCCGTGGTACAGCCGCCGTCCTGTTGTCCTCTAGACCAAACCCGAGAGCTGGAGGTGCGCGGCAGTTCGTGTGGGCCTCTCTTCCGAGTTTCTGAGGGAAAGCAAAGAATTTCCCTGTGGCGGCTTTCGGCTTTCAGCCACCAGAATGAGCAGAGGAAGCCCAGCGAAGCAGGTCCACAAATGATGCAAAATAAACTAGGCTGCAAGAGGATGCTGTATTTCATAGAACCATAGAATCATGAGGCTGGAATAGACCTCTGAGATCATCAAGTCCAGCTGTCAACCCAGCACCACCATGCCCACTAAACCATGTCTAGAAGCACTACATCAACACGTTTTTTTGAACACCTCCAGGGATGGTGACTCCACCACTATCTCCCTGGGCAGCCTGTTCCAATGTTTGACCACTCTTGCAGTAAAGAAATTTTTCCTAATGTCCAATCTAAACCTCCCCTGCCACAACTTGACGCCATTTCCTCTTGTCCTGTCTCTTGTTAGTTGGGAGAAGAGACTGACCCCCACCTCGCTACAACCTCCTTTTAGGTAGTTGTAGAGAGCAATAAGGTCCCCCCTCAGCCTCCTCTTCTCCAGACTAAACAACCCCAGTTCCCTCAGCTGCTCCTCATAAGACTTGTTCCCCAAATGCGTTTGTCTTTGCAAGATAAAATATAGAATGAGGCTACTGGGGTGACAACAAACTACTTTCTGCCACCATTTTGTGGTTAATCTGAAGCCAAGCTCCTTTGCTCATGAGTAAATAACTGCATTGTCAGTTGGTCTTCTTGGTAGATAACTATTCAGTTGTGCAAATAGTTGTACAAATAGTTGTCCCCAGCAGAAGGGATATTACACTGTAAGCTAACAAGTTTCTGGTTCAAAGTTGTATGCAAGTAACAACCACAGGGTGAACAGGGATTAAAAAATAACTGACACCATTTCATGTGCTTAGGTGTGAGCAGCTTGTGAGAGTGGTCCTTGTCTTTGTCAAGACATGTTGGCTTAGCAGGACCCATTATTTACCTTGTTTTCCCACGTAGCTGAATATAACAGAACATATGATCAAAATGTTTTCTTGTTCTTGTAGGAAGGCAGACAGCTTCCCACAGTACTCCAAACAGCAACGGAGGACAGAAGACTCTAAAAACCATGTTCACTACTGGAAGTGGCAGGCCTGAAGAGCATCTGATGTTACTTTTCATTATTGATTCACTTTGGGGCAAAGGAGCGTGCCTGACCGTTGGGCTGAAGGAAGCCAGAGGTCCATGTTGACGTGGTTTTGTGCCAGGATCTCTGGATAAGCCCACCAGCTGTCTCTGAACTGCAGGTGACTGAGGAGCGATGCCCGTGTGGCTCCTCAGCAGGCTCACAGACAGGAGAGGGGCGCTGTGCTGACCCAAGGGTAATGAATGGCTCCGTGTCAGGAGGAGATGAGTCTGAGGGGGTTGCTGATTTGCGGGGTTGCTCCGTGCCCCAGCTGCACCCTCTGGTCAGCCCAGCTCTGTTCCTACAATGGACTGGAGAACTCGGGGGACTCCTCCAGGGACCTGTGGTTAGACTCTGCCTGCAAACTGCTCTTCAGAGCCCCTCCTTCTGTGGCCCCCCAAAGCGTGTGCTGGGGGGCTCCTGGCAGATGAGAAGGTGGGGAACACCATGCCTAACCTGGTCCCAGGAAGCAAAAATTGCTTGCCTTGTTCCTTGTGTGAACCAGATCCCACATGGACAGTGCTGCTCAGCTCTGAAGTATGCTAGCTCTTGTTAAAACGAAGCAAGTTGGCAAGACTGGCATGTGGGCCGGCCTTTTGCAAGTGGTCAAGCTTTCACTGTCTTCAAAGAAAAATCAAGTTTTCTGAGGTTTGTGTAACTTCAAATTCATAAACAACTTCTACAGGAACATTAAGACGGACATAACTCTTTACTCTGGAAACATTAAGACAAACAAAAATGGAAATGATGCAGTTCCAGCTGTAAAGAACCCTTTCCCCTCCACGTGCGCATGGCTGCCCTGCAGATCTCCCTTCGGAAAGGGGGAAGGGCGGGCTTGAATGTTGTTCTGCTTTGTATTTTGTTCTGCTTTGTTTTTTCTAGCTAGGGGTGTGACCAACCTTTGCTCATCTACTTGCAACTGGAATATGAGAGGGCAGCCCATCGCAGTACCACCTGTAGAAACAGAGCTCACCTGAGCAGGGGATATTGCTCACGCGCTTGGCCCTCGGGGTCCTGCCACCGTTGCACCACCAGCGGCTGTTTGGCTGTAAGGTCCTTGACTCTGATACAGAAAATCAGAAAGATGATTGTACAGGGAACGCTCATGATAGGGGGGTGGTCCTTTTATTCTTTAATCCAACCAAATATGCAAAACACATGCAATATGTCTTAACTTCAAAATATCCTTGGAAAACCCAACACAGGATTCCTACTCTTGGAAATAAATTCCAATATGCTTCTGTACCTTGCTCTCTATATCTAGAAGCACAAATCAAGCCCAACATATATTTCCACAAAAACACAGAGGAAAATACTACCACATCCAATTTATGCGGGTTCTGACTGTATTTAATCAATGCTGGCCTTCTGAACAGAAATGGAGTGCAAGTAAGATTTCACAAAGGAAACTTGGGAAACCAGCGCAGTGTTGGGGCCCTCTCACTGCCGTTACTGCCCTAAGGGTGAAAATGCAGACACTGAGAACGGCCAAAAAAAAATACTCTGCTAAAGATAACCGTGTCTCTTTGCTGGCTCCTGCCCGTATGAGCATGGGTGGCCCAGCTGCACGTGCATCTCATGGGACGTGGACTAGCGGGTGGGCTGTGGCAGGGGCAGGCAGGGTGTGCTCTGCAGCGGCAGCTCCTGTCCCGCTTTGAAGCCGTCGGTAGCCATAGCAGACAGAGCTGCTCTCACAGGTGGCGCCGGGGCTGATTTTGGCCACTGCAGCGGTGTCCAAACAGACCTGCCCACCTTGCTCCTGCTGCCAGGCATGCTCGTGTGGAGCTTCTTGCTGCAGAAGTACCTGCTCACTGAGGCAGGAGCAGAGGTTTTGGTGAGGGGCCGTGCTCAGGGCTTTGCCTTTCCCTTCTTACGCTGCCTTACCTGCCCTGCTCTGTCCTGTTGACATGCCACTGCAGCTGCGTCAGGGCAGTAGGCAGGAGGAGGGATGGGGACAGTGATTCTCGTTTGAAATGTGAATGTCCCATGGCCAACACATGGATTGCTCCCCAGACCCAGGATCAGAGCCCGTGTGTGCTTCCCTCCGAAGGAAATGGGTTTAACAGCGGCCTGTGGCCACCGCCCGCTACTCCTTGTCTCTGGGTCCCACAGCAGTGCCTCTGCCCGGCCGCCTGTCTTGCTCCCTGCTTGCTCCACAGCTTCACCTGCCTGCCCCGCTCCAGCAGCACAGCCACTGCAGGCGGATGACCATCAAAGGGAAGAGCTGCAGCAAGTAAAATCAGTACGATTAGGAACTGGGGAGGTATGATGAGATGGGCTGCTTCTAGGAAAGGCTTCCTGAAGACCAT